TAAACCTCTGCAGAGTATATAAACTAATCATGGTTAGCCGTGTCCCCGGTTATGGACAATTTTGAGTATCTGGAAGTGAATATTTTGTTGATCTCATCACTCTTTATTTAATGTATTGGGTTTAATGGTTAATTATGGGATTGAGTTGGGGGAACCTTCTCAATATTGGTATAAACTATGTAATAAATAAAATTTATTCCTTTGTTGTAGGAAAAAATTAGCTTTATACAAAAACTAAACTTAGAGCCTCCACCAGCCAAATATGCATATAGTGATAGATATTGTTCATCATTATTCTACGGTGTGAATTTGCCTATACATTCAATGTACTGACCTACATGGCTGCAACGTCTCATGTTGCAGGAATCTTACGACGAGTAAGAGATACGTTAGGGTTACGATGTCTACACTCAACTTTGCCGTTGGTGTTGTTGGGACTCCACAACTTTGTTGTTACTTTTGCTATATGGATTGAGGTAATAATATTTACGTTACCTTTTATATGTGATTGCACTCTATTATAAATCCTCGATTACTGTGTGTGTTAGCATACCGATCCAGGGATGACACTTAAGCACAGAGACTTGATCCATTTGGGTCGGGTCGCTACACGTTCGACTACATCAACCGCGTTTCTTAACGCTTCCGCTTAGCGATCTACAAGGGTATGTAGATCCAATCTCTCCTCTCGTAGATGGTCATCTCATAGATTGGATCTTGGTAAGCGTAGGAAATTTTTTGTTTCCCATGCAACGTTCCCCAACAGTAGTAGTATCTTAATTTGCTTGATGAAATCTTCTATTCAATTTCGCCCACCACCATTTGTATGCAAACCCTGTATCAGAACTAATTTTCCAGCTTACCCTCATCGTTACAACTAAATGGAGGAAGCCCTTTGTCCTACTACTATACATCGAAATTCTCAGACTTGGGATCCTATACTTATGTACCTGCACAAGACCTGTTAGCCTCATGTATTTACTTGATCATGCCACCCTCTATGTATGACAGATAAGCCAATTTCGATATGTAACTAAATGCATATTTTGTGCAAACTTTATTCATCATATGATATATGTATGTTTACAACACGCTAAAATCATATCCATTACCATATCAATGTCTATCCGTTGGCCCGCCGTTCGGCGGGCAACGCGTGGCAAGGCGCTCCCCTATCTAGTACCAGTAAATTGGTCACGCCCTTAACTTTTGGCTGTTGTTTGGATAAAAATCAATTTTGGCTCTCCCCATCAAACTTGGGCATGCGCCCATGCAGCTTTTGCCAACGCTTGGGCGAAACGGTGGCATGGAAAACGTCCGCCAAAAAATTGGCGAGCCTGTGACCCTTCGTCCTCATCTCTTTTCTTATTTCTCTCTCGAGTCGATCTGCATCTATCAATGACGTTGACCTACACTGCTCCACGTGGCACCAGCGATGCTCCACGAATCACACTGAAAGGTCACTGGCCCGAGTGCCCCTGACCATGCGCTCAATCCCGTTTCCTCGTAACATGATTTCCCCCACTCTTACTAGATCCGAGTTCTTACCAAATCGCTTTTCTCTATGTTGTTACTAAAAAGCATGTCGATTTCATTAGTAGAGTGGTGCCTAATACTATTGAATTTGATCAATCCTGCTTCTTTTTGTCCTTGTGTGTTGATCGTGCTGATCCACAAGCACGTTCTTGACATCTCTGTTAGCTATTTAGCCAAAATACAAGTAAATGTATAGCTACAATTTTACAAGATTTATGTCCGAGCTAGTATGCATCGATCTGCAATCACCTACTTTAATTTTGTTTTTGCACTGGTGCGACCTACCAGCAATATAATGGGGAAGAACAAGTTTGTTGTCATAATGTTCTAGTATATATTTAGTTTGTTTGTATTTTGTAATCTATTACTCCCTCTGTCCCATAATGTAGGACGTTTTTTGACACTAATGTAGTGTCAAAAAGCGTCTTACATTACGGGACAGAGGGAGTAGTTTGTATAGTCTTGTATTTCTTTTTTCGTTTCACAACTTTGTAAATAATTTCAGTTTGTAAAGTTGCCAAATATTTGGATTAAAATCAAATGATAGCAAATGGTTTTGCCAAAATTTTGGCAAGTACTAATGGCTACAATCCAAACAGACATGACTTGGCAATTTTTTGGTCATTCCCTTGAATTGTTCATGCCAATTATCATGGCGATGCAGCTCGCCTCGGAGGTCGGGAAGTCGAGGAAGTGGAAC